GACCTTGTACTGTCCGAGTGCATACTTTGCAGTATAGTTGTAATATCCTTATTATTAAACATCTTTTCCTCCCAGGAATACATCATGGGAATGCTGAAATCCAAAATGTTTAGAACAGATTTAGACAACTTTTTTTTGTGTGTTGTCCAGTCAAACCCTGGAGGCAGCCATGTTTGTTTTTAGTCCCCGTTCGGACGTAGTCCGAAAACAGGGACTTATGGTTTGCCCTGTGTGTGTGTGTCCGTGCTTCCGCGCGTTCGTGATCACCTGTATCTCGAACATGCATGGACCGATTAAGTTCAAACTTCACTCATACATCACACATTAGATGGGACATATGCACATGCATTTTTTTCATGATCTGATTAACGATAGCCGAATATCGGCCATTTTAAGGTCGAAAATGCATTGAAATCGCACATTTTCACTATTCCGGACCCGGATCTCAGTTATGCATGGACGGATTTTGTTCAAATTTGGTACATACATTAAACATAATAGGACCTTGATGCACGTCATTTTTTTTTCAGATCAAGTTTGAAATGGCCGCCATTTTGTTTAAAAAATTCAGTTCTGGATCCGTATCCGAGACATGTCTGGATTGATCAAGTTCAAACTTCACACACACATGGTACATCATGTCACAAATAGATATGTGCATTTGTTTCATGATCCGCTTAACAATAGCTGAATGATGGCCATTATAAGGCCGAAAATGCATCAAAATCACGCATTTTCACATTTCCGGAACCGGATCTCACTCATGCATGAACGGATTTTGTTCAGATTTAGTGCATATATTAAACACAATATAAGCTTGATGCACATCAATTTTTCTTCGGTTCAAGTTCAAAATGGACGACTGGCAGCCATTTTGTTTTAAAGAATTTAGTTTTCGATCCATATCTCAGACATGCCTGGACAGATCAAGTTCAAACTTCACATAAACATCATATCATACATATGCCTGTGCATTTGGGCCAGTCCTTTTAAGGTCAAAATTGCACATATTCACCATGGGTGAATTTAGTTCACACTTCATGCATACATTGTACATTATGGTACCTTGAATCACGTTGTTTTGTTTTCCAAATTGGGTTTTAACTGAATACAGTTCAGCATCCATATCTCAGGCATGCCTGAACCGATCAAGACCACACTTCACACACATACAATGTGTTGTACATATGCAGGTGCATTTCGGATCAGAAAACTGAAAGTGGTCTGAGATTTCGGTCATGATCTGCTTTAAATGTATATGTCACTCAAATATGAACGGTACAGGGACGCGTCATTGACAATATTCCATATTTGAAATTTGAGTTTCTTAATATGGTAGGATGAAAATATTCTGTGCACGACCACAAAATTACGGCACGCTGTAACTTATGGCGTCACGGTGACAGATGTATAATAATAGAGATGAATGCGCCCCAGAATAGACCAGTCATGGTACAAACAAATTATCATAGTATACATGTACTTTTAGGTAGTCTTTTTTTTTTTGGACACTAAATGGTCAAAAAAGTATTAATCCAAAAACCAGACTTCTGCCATGCATGGAGTTGCTGCTTATTTGGTACATACCAACATAATTTGTTGATCTTGTTTAAATATTGATTATAAAGCATATGGATTTCTAATGGTAATATATACCGCGGGGGGGGGGGGTAATCTTGTTTATAAATAAGGAAATATGTACAATCATTAGAATTAAAATGAGTTTATTAACAAATTGAAGCGCAAATTTACATTTTTTGATGGTTAAATATGAAAATAGTCTAGAAAACAAAACACCACCAAAAGAAATATACACATAAAACAGGGTTCTCAATATTTAGTATTTTATTCTAATTTTAAAACAAAGGCAAGTCTATTGTTGACAATTCAGTAGTGAGACTGGGAGATTAGAGTAGAAATGTTAATTTTTATACTGGGGATGGTGACACTTTGAACAGATTGATAAATACTTCAACATTTGATTGAAAGATGAAAGAGTCAAACTGGTCTTGCTTCTTGTACTATTTTATGGTTTTTAAATAGTTTCGCATGTTTTATGATAACAGTCATCGATAACAAATTAACAGATACATACCATAAGTTAAAGGTTTTGGCAAGATTTTGAAAGATTAGGTTTTTTTTCTGAAAAGGTCAAATACAAAAAAATTGAGTTTTTCACTAAAAGTCCATAAATCCATGCCTCTGAAAGTTAAAATATTGTACAAGCAGCTTTTTTTTCTTCTAAAATTGACAATAAATATTGAAGATGCAGATTCCTTTTTTTATTATTGGTATTATTAGTCTTCTGTTTGCACTAAACAATCTTTTGACGTCAGATATTACATCTTAATTAGTCTGATTAGATTATTAAAATTATTTTAAAAATTAATTCAGCACAATTTTTAAGGTTGTTCACCATAATCTAATAATTTGTGACAATCAAAAT